GGGGGGGAGGGGGGAGGAAGAGGGAAGGCAGGTACTGGCTATGGCAGAAGGTTCCTCCTGCCCTCCAGCAAGCCCCTAGCCCAGCCCAGCCTGGGTCTCACTGGAGCCACTCTACCTGCCAGGTGCTGGGGTAGGCAGAGGGCACGGGGGAGAGGCAGACCCTTGTCCTGGACCCAGGCACCCTGCATTGAGTCTTGGGGGGGGGGGGCAGGTTTCACAGCAGGGCTCCCGCCCACCCCCAGCTCCTGGCTCGGCCTGGCTGGGGGCTTGCCAGAGCCCCACCAGCCCTGCCTGTCAGGCACTGGGGGTGGATGGGCAGAGCCCTAGCCCTGCTTGGGGCTAGTTGGGGACAGGGGACTGTTCTCCCCCCTGTGGGTGACAGCAGGGGGTTGGAGGTGTGTGCCAGCCAGTCAATTAGGGATGGATAGGCTGGTTAGCAGGCTGGGAGGTGTGCTTTAGTGCCTCAGGCCCAAATGAAAAGTAAATGTTTGTTATGTTCAGTATTGGTTCAGTCTACGCAGCTTAGAAAAACCTACGTAGATTGAATTGATTCTGCCTCAGGCTTTTTGACTGTCTGCACGTAGCCTGAAAGACAAAAGTGACTCAATCTTCTGCTAATCAATACCAAACCGGGACTGGCCAAAAGAGTCACTAGAATACATCCTTTTATGCTCCTTCTACTAAGTTCTTTAAAGCACATGCCTAATTTTAAACCAATGATGTTGATCAGGTGCTAAATCAAGACTAAAGTAAAGAATCTAACTAGACACACTGGTAAGTTTACTGTGCCTTCGCTAGTCAGCACTTGCCCTATATTTTAATACTAGCCCAAAAACTTCCAAAAATCATTTTTTGCCACTCTTAAAAATCCATGTTAATTATTACTGCTACTATTATTACTATGGGGCAAATTTCCTAGGAGGCCTCAAAGTCAGCTTCTGTAAACAAGAAACGATATGCCAAAATTGAATTTACACATCTCAAAGTGTGTAATCAAAGAGCCTCTATTACATGCAAGCACAAGTTGCAATTATTAAAAATTTATCCAAATGGAGCTAATCTTTTAAAGGTGATTTCTAATACTTCACCAACTGTATTTCTGTGACAAATATCCCTAATAGTAAGATTAAAAGGGCAATTAGCACATAACGTATTGATATCTGTTATTTTTAAACGTCCTTCCCTACACTCAGATTACAGATTTCCACTCTGAACTATTCAGAGTGTTTACTGTGCAAGAAATTCATATTGACCAAGGAACAAGAATGTCATAAATGGACTAGCTGAAAGAGTAGATGTAATGACTATGGAAACCTCCTAAGGCAATTTATATGCACTGAGAAGGAAGGTGGTCAAAAGAGCATCTTTTTATTTTAATTTCATTGTATGATGTTACAAAGGTTGTTTAAAATATCACATTCATCATTTTGGATCTACATCTATAAAAGTGTGCCAATACATATATCTATGCTAACTGATTAACAATCTATAGCTATCAACATTAAAATATAAAGATATTAACAGTTACCCATTTTTTAAAACAAAAATTATGCCATCCATCACTAGAAATGATGAAAGCCACTTAACTGACATTCCCATTCATAAGGGATATGATGCATACTTTAGGCAGTAGTAGTAAATTTTCAGGAGAACTTTAAAAAAAAAGATCACCTAAAATCAGGTGTATACTGAAGTTCACTGTTACTTGTTACTGGGGCATTCTTATAATACACCTATGCAGCTAACAAATTCATAAGAATGATCTGAAAGTCATGTTTAGAAGACATTTTAAAATGCCATTTTAATGTTTAGTTTATTAAAACTGCTCCTTAATGAATTCCAACAGCCTTACCATTTCTTCATTAGTCTCTTGAGCACTTTCTGAAGCTGCACTGATGGCATCTGGAGATGATCCACCACAATTCTCAATCCCTGGTCCTTCTTCATGGACATTTTCTGGGGGGCTTTGGTAATTCATAACTGCAATAGCTTCTGTGAGCATAACATCAGAAAAAATAAGAGTCAATATAATATAATCTGTATTGTCCACAAATTAACAAAGCTAGTTTTATATATACTCTTAATACATTTTTTTAAATGGCTTTAGAATTTGATCTGGATTATAACATGAAGCTTTACGACTAATAAGAAAAACTAGCATAACGTGGCAGTAGTCCTTTTAGCTCTGGCCAGAGAATAGGAGAAATATCTGAAATTCTCTGAATCCTAACTTATCTATCCAGCTACTTTAAAAAACAATATATTTTCTTTGGGTGAAATTCATTCCATCTACACAGAGCCTAAATATTCAGACACACTGCGCAGGTAGAGTGTGGAACGTTTGGGGCAACTGAATCTATTTTTTCAACATACAGCCATGCTGAGGACTGGCTTCTATTCCAACTGTTAAGGCACCTGTAGCAACTCCATGCCTGTTACAGACAGCAATGAATGAAAAACATTTAAGTATGAATACTTATGTGGCTTCCGTGCTAGTATATGTAGGCTGGCATAAAAACCTTTCCTGCAGGGCTCCAGGGATACATCAGTCCTCTTACCTGCTACTTAATTTCTAGACATCCAATGCAGCCTTGTCTCTACTGTCTAAGAGATTCAAAAAGGGCCTTGTTTTAGTTTTTTGCATCAAAAGTATATTTTAACTTGCAAAAAGTTGGTTAAAGTACTCCAGAAGTCACTGATCTCATTGTACTCCAAAAGTCATTGACAAATCTTTTGCCCGATGCCTTTAAAAAAAGTAGCTGCAGCTCTGCTCTTTATAGAACTATGCAGTCAAGCTATCTCATATTTGTCACAGAAGTTTCTATTTCCTCAACAACTAGGGAACATACACCTTTTACAACCTGCAACGAAGCATCGTTTTTGAACACAACAAAGTTAAAAAAGGTGTGGGGAGGGAGGAAGCAATGAAAAAAAATACAAAGGCTTTTTCTGGAAATGCGGCATATTCCCAGAACTCCTATATAATGAGAGGTCTGCAAGATCAGCACCATTGTTTTTGTCTTGACAATGACATGAGCAACAACAAATAAATCGTGTAAAGTAATATAGGATTTGAGAATATTTCTCTATCCAGGTAGCAGGATACAAAGGAAACCAATCTTTTAAAGTCTTGCCATTAAAATCTGAAAAAACTAACGGATAATTTAACTCCACAGATTATATAATCCCTGCCTCTCATAATTTCTGAACCATCATGACTACAACATCACTTTCACACTACAGATTACATAAACTGATAGCTATCTAACATAAAGCCAAATAATTCCTAGATATTTATCAACGTTTCCCACTGAAGTTACTGGCATCTGATTGCAGAAATCAGTCAATAAGAAGTATAAAAGAAGAATGCTGTGTGAAGAGACTAGGACTCTTTGTGAAGAAACTGCTCCTATACTTGAAACTGGAAATCTTCATTCACCATTTCAGACTGAACAACACTGTAAGTTAGGGTACCAGTTTGCAACCATCTACTGTTGGCTCAGAAGTTCACAAACAGGGTGTAATTCCACTGAATTTAGTCATAAAAACAGCACAGCAGTGTTTCTCTCAACCAAAACAGCCACAAAGTGGGACAACTGGCAGTTCCTTTGCAATAGTACCTTGCCTAAGCAAAAAAATATTTAGATATCAACAGCTAGTAAAGTCAAGAGAACTGCTCAAATCCAATGAACAGAATTTAGCCTACAGGATACTTTCATGTATTGTATGCAAACATTTTGTTAAATCTGTTTACCTTTCTCGAGAAAACTTTGGCTATCACTTCCATCACTCTCTAGCAAATGTTCTTCTAACATCATGCTATCAATAGAAATGGTATCCAGAGAGACTTGTGATGGACTTCTCTTCATGTTCTTATAAGAAACAGAGAATGCAGGAAGGTTGGACGGGCAGCGTTCCTTAGGCTTTCCACTTTTTAATATAAAGATATTAGGAAGATATTACTTAAAATGAAGGGAATTCTACAGAAGAAAAATCAAAATCCTCTAACCCAGGAATTAAAAAATTAAATAAATAATTATATTTAATACAAAAGGATGCTATAATTCCTGGGGGGGGCGGAGGGGAGAAGACAGAAATAAAAGTGGAACATTAATTGATATTTGTCTATAAACAGTGTGTCGTTTTTCTGTATTCAAGAATACTGAATGAATATAAAATATTTAAAACAATTTTAAAAAGTTTAATTTGTATTTGTTAAATTACACACTCTTACTGTGTATTTACAGGATTTATAAATGCTTAACATGTTCTCTATCTTGAGATATTAACTTTTTACTTCTATTATCCCTTGATAATTGCTATGGTTGAAAAAAAATGTGAACTCAAAGTATTAAATCTTTTATACCTTAACACGGACTGGGATACAATTGTTTTAACCATGGACATTGTCTCTTTATTAATTTCATATTCTTCGGACTGTGAGGTAGTTTCTGATTCTAAATCAGCTCCAGTACCACTTTCCTGGTCATTTAATTTATTAGAAAGAATATTTTTGTCGTCATCTTTATCAGTGAAAAACTCAGTAGATTCTTCTTCACTGTTTAAAACATTCACTGAATCTCTATAGTACAAGCTACTTTTGTCACCTAATGGTCCACATATTTCTTCTGAATCGCTTCTGCTGAAGAGTCCACTTTCTTCTTCGCTGGTTTTCCCCAAGCATTTGTCTGAAGAATCATCCGAAAATGAAATTCTCTTGTGAAAATCTATGTCACTACTTGATTGAGACAGAACAGACAAATTTGTTCTGTTAACCTCAGTTACAGCATTAACATCAACACTACCAGTCTGTGTTGTATCAGTTAATTTGCTCTCTGATGCAAAAGCTTCTCCATTTTTCAAAGGGGAAAGGTCTGATGCCACAGGACTTTCTTCTTCCAAAACTGGAGACTTGCAGGGATTTGCCTGAGTTATTGGGTGCAATAAAAGAGCTATGTCTGCACTTTTAAGTAAGATCCCGATACAAACATCTGTTTGCTTTGCAGGTTTGCCTGTCACCTGTTCTACGTCTTTCCTTAGGTTTTCTAGAAGCATTACAAGAGAGGCATGGAGAAACAGCAAGAAAAGATATTGATAGTGATTGATTTGCATGCTCACGTGCTTTTCAATATGAACAAGGACATGAATATCTGCATCCGAAGAACCTGCAGACAGAGCCCCTGAACTGCTGTCTGAAAAACAAAGTTTTTGAATGCCATTTGTCAAGGGCTCTGTCTCACTCCTATAATATTCCTGTAAAAGTTTTTTGCGCTGTAGTCTATTAGTGAGGTCACTTGAGTCACTTTTTGGAATGTTAAAAGATGTCTGATTATAAGAAAACAGTTCCTTTTGTGACTGTGCAAATCTTACTGGCTGGCAAATCCAAAGTGAGAGTGGAAATGAGTCTACAAAGCTTATTGGTCGGCCTTTCCCACTTTTCATTCCTTCGTAATCTATCCAAAACTGGGAAAAATGCACAGCCCAGACATCAGTAGCTGCAGATGTTTTTAGTGCATATTTATTCAGCTTTGGGGTGACATACCCCTTATAAACATCATGCATCTTAGTGTCTTGTTCATGAGCATGTCTCTGGAAGATTGGATGCAGAAGATTAAAATTATTGGATTTGGGAAATTTGGTGAAAGTTCTACTGAAAAATTCACAATCTTTAAAGTTTTGGAACAAGGCTTCCAGGTCAGAGTGTCTACAGTTTGGAGAGTGTCTTGTGTTTGTAGCAATCATCTCAGAACTCTGAATAGATATTGCACGTGGCTGATCCTTATGGATTTCAGGTTTCTTTTCAGATGGAATGATGAACTGCAACAGAAAAATACGTTATACTAGTTACATGGAGATAGGCTACAAAGCTACACAGCTCAAAAGAAAACTGGAAAGTGATGCAAAGTAAAATAAATGAAAAGACTGAAAATAAGTTTTGTAGCTTGGCAAGCATATTACTATGGAATAAGTATGTTAGATAAACTTCCAGTTGTGCAGTTTTTCCATATGTTCCAAAAATGTTGATCAAGGATACTAGACAAACCCCTATTCATATGAAAATTCAACACTCATACAAAAATAACAAGGCCTTAGGCCAGGGATGGTCAAAATACATCCTGCAGGCTGTATTGAGCCCACCAATTAATTCTACCCAGCCTGCAGCACCAGCAGAGGCTGGAGTTGGAGTCAGACATGTGGGCCAGACAGAATCAATTGGTGGGCCCATAGGGGATGCTGGATGGAAGCAGCCCTGCCTGCTTGCCTGGCACCACATGACAGCCTGGAAGATGGAGTCTGACACTGCAGTGTCAGATGGGTGGGTAGGGCTACTTTTGCCCAGTGTCCCCCACTGCACCACCAGAGCCTCTCTCCTAGCACCACGCAGGAAGGGAGGCAGGCAAGGGGGGGAACTGAGCCCCCATCCCTGACCCCCCGCCCCCAGCAGGCGGTGGGGGGAGGCCAAGAGGCACAGCATTCTCTACCCCCTCCCCACCACAGCCTAGCACCACAGGTCTGTGAACGCACTGTGGCCTTACGCCCTATGGTTATACGGGGGGAATTCAGACTGGAGGAGGCACTTCCATTGCTTTTCAGAGAACTCTCTCTTATGCCAGAAATTATTTTGATTATCTGCATCCAGAAACTGTACCTTGGTTACCTGCAGTGGATCTTAGAGGAATATAGAGCATAAGACTAGAAGGGACCTCTGGGGTCACTGAGTCCAGGTCCCCTGTTACTACAGGCTAATGAAGAATCTGAAGGAGAATAGTGCACTTTATGGTTATTACTATGAGAGCAAACCAGAAGAATAATCGCTATTACAAGCCACTATTCAAACAGTACCAGGTCTTTTCCCAAAGTCACACAAATAATACCAGTCAGGAAAGTATCTTACTATTTCAGGGGCCATCACATAATTGTAAGAATTTATAAACTAAATATTGTAATCTCCCTAAAAATGGCAGTTATGAAGTCCAGTTCTTCTTTTGGAGCATTTCTTTGCCCTTCTTAGAGATCAAGATAAATTTATTTGGCAACTTAATTGTATTTTGCATCCTTGTTTGTTTCTCAACCAAGTCCTCACAAACCTAAAATGCACAAAATAACAAACTGATCAAATCTGTAATCATGAGAGTTTAGTTCTCGAGTACAGGGCTGCCCATACGGCAGTCCAAAGCCACCTCTCCCATTACTGCATGGTGCTGGTATAGCCGCAGGGGGGGGGAGAGGCCAGCACCAGGGACAGCAGATTCCAAGGGCCTGCCACCCCCAGTATTGCTCAAGCCACGTGGTAGCACCAGATGCAGCCCCCATAATTAGACAGCCCTGATCTATACATCCATTTTATGAGGTGTCTAAAGCTCTGAAGTGCAAGGTATGGTGAAGTAAATAGTATCTCATTATACAAAAGAAACAATCTCCCTGTGGCTAGTAAAACTATTTTAAGTTGCACACACACCAAAGTCCACAATGCTAAAGGAACATCAGACAGAACAACCAGGTAGCATCAAGGGCATATTTATTACAAGTGACATCCTCAAACAGCTACAGACATGAGATTCAAAAAAATCATGGTGATTTCAGCAAATTACTACTCTTCTCTGCTTAATAGATATAAAACTGTGCATAACGAGGCTTGCAATTTGTGGTTAGGAAAAGACTGCCCTTCTTCTACCTATACAAGATAAGAATGTAGACTGTGTATTCTCAACATACCTTTACAGAGGAGATGAATTAAGAGTTCTGCACTGAACCCAGAATACCCTTACTGCTGAAGCTCTCAGCTCCTGCCAAACTTCTGCATTCCTTACTTGCAATTTCAGGCATCCTGCCTACATTGTCAACTTGGGTTGTTTGTAATGAGCTATGGCTCCTAACTCCCTTGTAACCAAGACCATATTAGAAGAGATGGCAGTTGCTCACATGTCCTCTGTACTTCCTCACACAATTTTCTGCATTGTAGTCTGCTCAGTTTTCCAGACTCCGTTTTTTTGTTTGTTTTTTTTTTAGTTATTTGGCTAATAACTTTACAGAGTTAAAGCGAAAATATTTTGTTCCAAAGCACCTCCCAAACACCCCCTTCATACTGTACCTTTAACATTAGTCCATCAATTCTAACATCAACATGCTCGTCAGATTTTGAGTTGTCATTTAATTTATACATGGTCATGAACTGTGTAAGACTCTGTTTCAAATCCAACACGAACTGATTTAGCCAAAGAATGCTTCTCTCATCCAGAGTGAATTGCAGAGCATTCAGCTGGACATACAAGTTTGGAGCTGGAACTAAGAGAAAATGAAACAAAACAAAAATCAATTTTCTATGAAAAATTATTAAAAACACGCATACGCATTTATCTTCAAAAAATACAGAGCCATATAATCTCTCCTTTATGCTATTAATCAGGCAGAATAGGAGTAGGAGGTCAGAGGAAGTCCAAGTCCTATCATTCTTCCTTTCTTCTAACCCCAAAGCAATTCCCAGGTCCAATCCTGGCATGCAAAAGGCTAAAATTAAAATGGAACAGATTGGGTCAGAAAGAGGAGGGAGAACAAGGGGTGGGGTGGGTAGGGAAGGAAACGTCACAACGGCAAGGAAAGGGCAGGGCAACAAGCGAGTCACTCTCCTCAACACCATCCACAAGAAACCCACTAGGATTTCCACACATAAGATAATATTGACTTCTACCACATTACTAAAATACCTTGAACAGACCTTTTGTTACATTTTCATTACATTCCAGGAGTTTGACTTCTTTTGTGCAGCCAAGTAAGGCAAACATTCAAACAAAGTATATGTTGCATAATCAATATTTTATTTCTTGGTGAAAACACTATGCTGGCTTCAAACACAATGTTTATTAAAAAAGAAAAATCAATGCTTTAAATGGGTTTCTCAGAGCAAACACTGTGAAAACGGTAAAGTGTTTGTTTCACAATAAGTTTGCTTTACAAATGATTCAGTGCAAGCTCTACTAATAATTTTGGTTGTAAACCTTGAATCAATATGTTTTTCAAACCTGAAGTTACTGTTAGGCTTCACAAAAGATGACTATAATATGTAAGATTTATCTTGCAGAAAAAAAAAATCTTACTAGGATAATCCTTTTCATCAGGGTAGTAATATTCAGTGAATTCAATATGAATAGCTGACATCTCTGGTGGAAGATAAAGTGACTTTTTATTGCAAGAGATTAGTGTTTTAGGGGAAGAACGACATTGGTCTGCTGTAGAGACCTGAAAAAGACAAATGAGAAATTTTATTAATATACTACTTGATTTTTATGAATTAATTCAGTATAGCAGCCAGTAGTGCAACAGACTGTTCTACCTAACACAGGGGCAGGCAATTATTTTGGGTGGAGGGCCGCTTACTGAGTTTTGGCAAGCCATTGAGGGCTGCATAACAGGCAGCCAGGGGCAGATAAATATTAATTTTCTAAATTTTTTACAGGCCCCATGGGCCAGATAGAATGGCCTGGCAGGCTGCATCTGGCCCACGGGCGGCATTTTGCCCACTCCTGACCTAACAAATGGGATCTGCAACAACACTAAGCACAGTGTGGCAAACCCCACTATATATCTCTAGTTGCACCTGGTA